CCGGCTCAACATGCACGAGGAGAAGCTGACGACCGAGAAGCAGCAGCCGAAGGAGCGGCTGTACCCTCTACGCAAGTTCGCCGTCAAGGCTTGAGCGGTGTGACAATAAAAATCAATCTGGCAAAAAACAAAGTTTTTTTTTTGGTTTTTTTTTTTTGTTTTTTGTTATCCTAGCTCTCTTCTAGATCTATATGAATTTTAGGATTGTTATCTTCGTATCTGTAAAGTATGCTGTTGGGATTTTGATTGGGACTGTTTTGGAAGTATGGCCATTATGACAATATTGGTTCTGCGATCCTCTGGCTGCTGGAAAGCCAGGCTAGGGCCGGGCTGAGGGAGAGGCTGGTAGGAGGTAGAGGGCTGCTGGGGCAAGACAACAGCTCTAGATACCTTCTTGTTTTAAAAACTGGGCCTAGGCTTGTTCACTCATGTAGCAAGTATGTACAGGACTGTGATGTGCGGGGCACAGGATACAGACATATCCACAGCCAAGGTTTTTGCCTTCCTGGACCCTCTAGAGTTTTACTGGGGCACAGACAAGCTAGTGAGGTCATTTCAGATGGTGACAAGTGCTCCATGGGAACAAGATGGAGTGAAGGGACAGAAAGTGGTTTAGGGGGCTGGAGATATAATTCAACGGTTTAAGTGCCTAAGCAAGGTCCCAAGTTCAATTTCCTGGTCCTTAAAAATAAAAAAAAGTAAGTGATTAGAGTAGGGTTAGGGCTCCTTTGAGGGGATGGCAAGAACAGGCTTTCTGAGGGAAAGGCATTTGAATTGGAACTGCTAGAAAGAGGTGAAGACAGGCTGGAGCCATAGCTCAGGGGCAGAGCACTTGCCTAGCCTGTGCAAGGCCTTGGGTTTCATCCCCTGCCCTGAGAAAATGTCTTTGCCTCCTGTGATGTTTAATCTTGAGCGGTTTGGGAAACACTTAGGAAATTTAAGTAAAGCTCGCTTCTGATGCCAGGTGGGTCAGGGGATGGGGGCCCAACCTTGGGAACATCTGCTTCCTGGCTGTCAAAGGTGTGCAGCTTTCCTCCAGAGCATCCTTCTACTGTGGTGTTTCTGCCTTGGAGCCAACCAACCACGGATTGAAATTTCTGAAACCGTGAGATAAACTAGAGCTTTCCCCCACTTCCTCCCCTCTCTCTGATCAGTTTCCCACGGTCAGGGGTGGAGGTGGGATGGGGTGGGGTGGGGGTGGGATGGTAGGGCAGCCTGCAAGAAGTCTGTCTCCTGCTCTGGGAACCCGGCTGGCTCCAGGTGTAGTTTGTGGCTCTGGGCCTGCATTGCCTGGGTCTCCCCATCCCCTCTGCTGGAGGCTTTCCTGACCTGTTGGCAACTACCTCTCTGGGAATGTGGGGTTTTAACCCTGCAGCAACTGCGGTAGAAATACCCACTTGGTTCCAGGGGATGCCAGCAGCTACCAGACAGGTTTCTGACAGCCTGTGGCGTGAGGTCATGGTTCTCCCAAACGGCAAGAAAGATCCAGCTCTCATGATGTCTTGGCACCAGATGAATCAAGAAACCTGGGGCTGGTGAGATGGCTCAGTGGTCTAAAGCACCTACTTAGAACAAGCTGCACAGGGATCGCGGTTCAATCCCCCAGCACCACATGCCAGCCAGCCCGGTCCCCTGGTGGGCTGAGCTGGCCACACACACACACACACACACACACACACACATAAATAAAATTAAAAAAAAAGAAAAAAGAAACCTGTCCAGCGGGGCATGTGCCTCTAACCTCAGTTACTTCATAGGCTGAGGCAAGATCATAACTTTAAAAACTATGTGTGCACGAGCGGGTGCTGGGGTAGGGGCTAGATTTGATTCCCATTACATAGAGAAAAAAAGCCTGTTTACTTGTGAATCAGCCTTAGCCCCTTCACTCCTACTTCCTGTGCAATAGTTTCCTCCCACGCACCGCCTCAGTTTCCTTAGCAGGTGAGGAAGGGCGGGGGTTGCTTGAAAGCTGCCCTTCCCTCTTTTCTCGCCTGCTCGCGCTGGCAAAGTGGTCTCACTTAGCCGGGCTGCAGCGCACACCCGCGGCTGCGGAGGTGGTGGCCAGGGCGCAGTCCGAGCTCCACGCTCGCCGCAGCCCGGCTCCTGGCGCGGCCCATCAGCCCGGCCGGTGCTGGCGCCCTGCCCCGCGGCCCGGGCGCCCTCCCATGCCGGTTGGAGCCGCGCGGCCAGGGCTGCGGCAGCGCCGACCCAGAGCGCGCGGCGGACACCGGGCACTGGAGGCGGAGGTTCCCACGCCGCACACGTGGGGGCCCTCGGCAGGCCCGGCCGAGCCGGCGGCATGGGGCAGGCGGGCTGGAAGGGGTTCTTCCAGTCTGCGTTCGACTACAAGACCGAAAAGTATGTGATCGCCAAGAACAAGAAGGTGGGGCTGCTCTACAGACTGCTGCAGCTCATCATCCTGCTGTACCTGGTCGTGTGAGTCCCCTGCACTTTGGAGGCTGGGGGAGGGGCTCCGCAGGGGGGAGGAGTGGGTGCGGGGGCAGCGGGACAGAGGAGGGGGCGCGGCCGGGCCTTCTCCAGGGTCCCGCAATTTGCGCTTGGCTTTTCTTGAGATCTTCGCCCAAGGAGAGGACCCTCCTTGGGTCCTTGGGTGTAAGGGTGGGGTTCACAGGGCCCCTCTACTTCCCCGCCAGCTCTAGAGATGAGACATGGGAAGGGGCTGCTGGACTTCTTCATTTAGGTGGCTGTCCATGACCAGCTCCTTCCCCAGGGACTGGAGCCCTCTTGATAGGGTGGGGGGCGGGGGTAGGGGCCCGGATGAAGGGACTGGGCTGCAGCTGTCACCCCAGAGGCCTCCCTGCCCCCCGCCCCCCTCCCCCGCCTGACAGTTGGCCTAGGCATCCGGTGGGTTATTTATAAGCACAGAGCCTCAGTGTCTTATTGTGGCCGGGGACAACTCATCAGCCTGGCGTGTCCCTGAACTCTCTTCCGGTCAGCTCACCTACCCGTGAGGGACGCCTACCATATCCAGCAGGGGTCCTGTCCGGAGACTTTAAGCCCTCAGTGCTGTGGCGCCCTTCCCAAGAGCCCGTGCTCCTGCTTCCTCCAGCCAAGGCAGCCCTGGCCTCTCCTGCTCTTCCCAGAGCCTGACTTCTGAGTCTAAGACACCTGCTGTCTCCAGCTTCGCTGTTCTTTTCCCTTGACAGTGCCCACTCATCCTTCAGACCTGGTTGCTTTCCTCCCAGCCATTCCCACCCGGAGTTTAATTACGTGCTAGTTTGTGTTTGTGGAGGTGGGGCATTTCCTCCCTGCTAGTTTGGGGATGCCTTGGAGATGGAGTCTGGCGTCCTTTCACTAGAGGGTGAGTCAAAGGAACGAGTTAGTGAAGGTTCGTCTTGAATATTTCCCTAAGGTTTCTGCCCCGGGCAGCCCCAACATGTCCCTCCTACAATGGCAGCTTTGCCCAGGGCCACAGACCTCTTGCCATTCCTTGGCAATGTGACAGCCTAGGGCTCAGGGCTTCAGCGCTGCCCTGGACATGAGGAGATGGACGCATATTGGTTGGCACTTGCTGAACCCAGAACTTTCGCCAGCATCAGGGGAAGTAGCAGTATCCCACACCACTGGCTGTGTGACCTCAGGCAGGTGGCTTCCCTCCTCTCCGCTCTCTGCCACGATTTCCCCAAGTTTACCGCAAGGGTTAACCTGGGCGGTCTGCAGCAGCAGCAATAATGCTTTAATTAGTTGTGCTCATTGAGCTTGTCTGTGCCCACAGCTGACATGTGCTGCCCCACCTTAAAATATCTTTAGGGTTTTGACTTCATTTTAGGCAGAGGAAGGAGGTAAGAGTAGTATGAAAAATTATTTCCCTCAACTAGGGACTCTGCAGTGTTAACATCTTGCTATTCCTCTGGTCCTTTCCCTTTCTCTATGCGCCTTTTGTATTTATGCAGTTTCTCCTGAGTGCTGTAAGAGGGGCTCATGTCCACAGTTGTGCAAGCTGGGACTCCGAGATCAGGGTACCAGCATGGCCTGGTTCTGATGAGGGCCCCATGTGGTAGGGGTAGGAGGAATTCTCCTATTTAGCTATACTTAGTACAAGCTTAACATTTGGGGTATTATCATTAAACAACATGGTCTCACCTGCAGATTTTTTAAAAATATTTCATTTGTGTGTGTGACCAGCTCAGCCCACCAGGGGGCGGGGCTGGCTGGCATGTGGTGCTGGGGGATTGAACTGCGGTCCCTGTGCTTTGCTAAGCTTGTTCTGAGTAGGTGCTTTAGACCACTGAGCCATCTCACCAGCCCCCATCAGCAGCCTACCACTGAGCCATCTCACCAGCCCCCATCAGCAGCGTACATGTTCCAGTAGTTACCTTTATGGCAAAAGAAAATCTGAAGTCGTGCCTTACGTGCAGTTTTCATGACTTATTAGTCTTCTCTCTATGAGGATTGTTCCTAAGTCTTTCTTTGTATTAACAGTGATATCTTTTGAAGAAGATGTCTTTTGTACTATTTTTAATTGAGATAAAATTCATGTAGCATATAACATACCCTTTTAATCATTTAAAATTGTACAAGTAAGTGCTTTATAGCACATTCACAATGTTGTGCACCCATCACCACTGCTTATTTTTTATTTATTTTTTGGCAGAACTGGGGATTGAATTCAGGTCTTTGCACTTTCCAGGGAAGCGCTTATTCCACTGAGCCATCTCCCCACCACTGCCTAATTCTGGAACATTTCCATCACCCCAGAAAGAAACCTGGAGTTATTACTGGTCAGTCCCCATTCTCCTTACCCCCATTTCCTGGCAGCCACAAGTCTGCCTTCTGTCTATGGATCTGCCTCTTCTGGACATTTTATAGCTGGAGCCTGTCTCATGCTCTTAGGGCCTCATTTCTTTCACTTAGTGTAGTGTTTTCCAGACCTGTGCATGGGGGCTGGGGACATAGCTCAGTACGATAAGAGCTTGCCTGGCAAGCACAAGGGCCTGAGTTCAATCCCCGGTTCAAAAAAAAAAAAAGACCTGTGCATGTTATAGCTGTGACTTTATTCCTTTTCATGGCTAAATAATACCACATTTTATGGCTAGGCAACATTTTGTAGGTCTATTCCCCAGCTGGTGGGCGTTTGCATTATTTTCACTTGCTATTATGAATGATGTTGCTAATAGTATGCTCATCAACGTTTTGGGTGAATGTGTTTCTCATTCTCTTTGGAATATCCTTAGGTGTAGGAACGCTTGGTTGTCTCCAAACTGTCTTTAACCTCTTGGGAATCTTCCAAATCATTTTACACAGCAGCTGTGCCTTTTACATGCCCACTAACGATGTATGAGGAGTCGAATTTCTCCACATCCTTACCAGTCTCTCCTATTTGTTCCTTAAGAATATTACTTTGGGGGCTGGTGAGATGGCTCAGTGGTCTAAAGCACCTACTTAGAACAAGCTTAGCAAAGCACAGGGACTGCAGTTCAATCCCCCAGCACCACATGCCAGCCAGCCCCGCCCTCTGGTGGGCTGAGCTGGCCACACACCCACATAAATAAGTAAATTAAAAAAAAAAAAAAAAAGAATATTATTTTTAAGCTTGGTGTGGTGACGCATGCCGATAATCCCAGCACTTAGGAAAATAAGACAAGAGGATCACTGCAAGTTTGAGCTAGCCTGCACCAAAGAGTGAGAACCTGTCTCAAAAAATTGTGTATTCTTAAAGTCATTCCAGTGAATGTAAATTGTCATCTTTTTTTCCTTTACTTTTTTTTTTTTTTTTTTGAGATGTACTTCAGGCTGGCCTTAAACTCATGGTGATTCTCTTACCTCAGCCTCCTAAATGCTGGGATGATGGGCGTGTACCACCAGGCCCAGCTTTTATCATGGTTTTGAGTCACCTTGACAATATTTTTCCAGAAATGTCTGATCAAATTCTTTGCCTTTTGTTTTTTAGACAGGTTCTTACTATACCATCCAGATTGGACTAGAACCTATGCTTTTAGAACCTCAGCCTCCTCAGTAGCAAGGATTACAGGCATGTGCCCCTGTACCCAGCTTTTTGTCCATTTTAAAACTGGATTGTTTAGCTTCTTAAAATTAACTGTTGTATTTTATTGTTCTTTATATATTCTGGACACTAAACCCTTATCAGATAAGATTTACTTTTGGGCGGGGAGGTGGCAGTTTTTGTTTGAGACAGGGTCTTCCTATGAAAGTCAGCCTGGCCTTCAACTCACTATGAAGCCCAGACTGGCCTTGAACTCATAGCAATCCTGCCTCAGCCTCCCATGTGCTAGGATTACAGACAGGTGCCACCACCGTACCTGGCTCAGATAAAGCATATCTGTACCCTGCCTTTTTACTTTCTTCACAGGCAAAATTTTTAAATTTGGATGAAGCACCAATTTACCTGTTTTTTTTTTTTTTTTTT